TGGGCCTAGCACCTGTAGATGGTACCGGATATGGTGTGCCGCTTCAAGTTGAGGCCCTGGTTATCATTATTTCCTGTGTGCCACTTCAAGTTGAAGTTCTCATGGATATAGGGATTCTCGTGTTTTTACTCACCAGCTTGTCTGACTTCCTTGATAGTATACAGTGCAACTCTGAGAAATTTCGGACTGCTCCACTATATTGTTCTGAACAATTCCAATGGTGATTGCATGGGCATTCTTTAATAGCTTCAATGGCAGTCCAGGACATATTCTACGGTTGATGGTCATTTTCAAGGCATTGTGCAATCTGTGTGTTGTTCCCATGTCTACTCTCCTTGGCCAGGGATCAGCTATATTGCAATCGATCTACGCACCTCTTGTTTGCACTTGCTGGAGCTCTCTGTTAGGGGATTCAGTTTACATTCTCCACCAAGGGTGCTTCCTAAGGTAACAAGTTCTGCTGCCAGCCTATGTTATCTCGGAATCTCTCATGTGCATGACCAGAGTACTCTTCAACTGGTTGATTCTCACTTGCTCTATCTCATCTTAGTTGATCGAGCGAAAATGAAAAAAAGGGTACATGTCTTTGATCCCAGGCCTGGTTTACTCTTTTGCTCTGCTCTCGCTGTTTGTACTAGCGAATGCCAAACCAACTTGATTCCGGGAGAAATAGTCGCTGTCATTTGGTCTTCTCAAAACTATGAGATGTTGAAGTGTCTCAACTGACAATGTCAACTATGAAAATCTCAAAGGTACCACCCACAGGAGCTTCTCAACGACTTGGGATTCGTCGATTTTGCCCCGGGTGCAACAAGGTTGGAGAGGCTCCACGTAAAGTCGTCCAACTCTCATCGTCACAAAAGTAGATGTCCTCTAGCTCCTTCCCAAGACGTTGCACCTTAGCCTTCTTAGCACGGTCACTTCTAACACGCAGTGCCTCGATTGCCTCACATGCCTAGGCCGATGTCTCTTTGGTGAGGTTGGGCATAGCCTCTGACGACAAGGCAAAATAGAGTGCCTCAAGCGCCTCCATGAAATCGGCGTTCATGTACTGGATCATGTCTAGGAGAACACGTGCCTGGAGCACGACCTTTATCGGCAAACTCCACTCGACACAGTTATTCCGCAAGAGGGTGGGATACTTGGCGCCATAGACTTCCTTAACGACGCGCTCAACGGCCACGTAGCTCCCACAATCCCTACCATACTCGATGTCTCGGTCGCACCAGGCATCCTACTTGTGCTCATCGTCTCGAACACGCTGGGCTGAGCTCAAAACCACACATGGAACACTGGTGAATATAGTCGTTGGATGAAATCCGCAATCGCTCATTCTCGTTATATACTAGCACACTACCCGTGTGTTGCTACAAAACCGTAAAAAAAGAGGAATTACCACCGACTTAGGAGGTCATCAAAAGATGATGGTGTCTTGCCGCTGTTGCATGGTTCATGATTAAAAAGAGAGCGCGGATATGATAAAAGATCATGTTGCAGTCGCTAAAGAGTCTTGAGTGGCCTTAGTAGGTCCTCTGCAAGACTTATAGTGAGATACTATTTTGAATTTGGAACATAGAATGGGCGTGAGTAAGTTGAATGCACAAGATCATGGATTAGGTAGGACGCCAACATCTATCACCGTGTTGAATTGCAATGTGTTTGCCATCTTCTGCTATGACATGGAACCGAAAGAATTGGTTGGGCGAAGACTAAAATCAAAACCATGATTTTGAATTGGAGTGGCATACTTGCACTTATATCTGGGTGTTTACACGAGTGTTATTCTCACATTAGGGTAGCAGTGTATTTGTTTATTCAGGAAAGGTCTCACGCCTTGTAGAAGTAACATTTGTTAATTTATAGTCTCACATGTGGGTAGTGCATTTGTTTATTTGTGTGGCCCCACATGTGAACTCACCGCAAAAACCAACCTTTATAAGTAGGAAAGATAAGAGCTAGGTACAAATGCATTTACGAGTCCAAATGAAGCCTGATCATTGGGGTACCGACTCATAGACTCATCGTGACCAGTCACAACTCACAACTAGTGCTTGACTAGTTGACATGTAGTTCAGCGGTAGCTACTATCTCTGTTTGTAAAGCGTCCCTAAAGCGACGCTTAAGCGTTAGAGCGCCCTCCAGGCTCAAAGCGTCCAACTCGCTTTAGACATGTGTCTAAGGCGTCCGCCTTAGACACTAAAGCGTCTGAAGCGCCTGCTTAGGCGTCCTGATTGGCGCTTTAAGGCAGAGAGGACGCCTTAGACTTGCCAGGCAGGGTACAGAGATTCCTGGCAGGGAAACAGGGCTGGGCTCACATGTGAAACAGTTACAGGAGGGGAAAGAAAGAGAGAGAACCAAAACCAGAGCGTGCAAATATCCAGGCTTTCAGCTCTTTCCTCTCCTCTGGCAGCAGCTTCCTCAGATCTGCACCAGCCTTTTCTGCTCTGTTGTGTGTTATGCTATGCACAACTCCTCTGCTGTTAGGTGCTACTGCCTCTCTTATAGCAATTGGCTAGTTGCTTACTGCTTAGTGGATGGATCAGAATATATGGGCTCACTGGTGGATTAGAATCAACATATATATGTCTCACTAAATGGTGCTCTATTATACTGCCCATCAGGTTCAGAGTCTGTGTAAAGCGTCGCCTCGCTTTACGCTTTATCGCTTAAGCAGTGAGGCGCCCCCCTAGCGCCTCGCTTCGCTTTACCGCTTTATAAACATAGGCTACTATATACTCCCTCCGTCCCAAAATAAGTGTCTTGAGCTTAGTACAAATTTGTACTAGAGCTAGTACAAAGTTGAGACACTTATTTTGGGACGCAGGGAGTAGTAATTAACTACTGATACTAGTATACTACAATAAATTTTAAAGGCATGGGAAGTGGGCGAACTTGAGGCTGTGACAACCTAACTTGATACTAGTATACTAGCAAATTACATCACTAACTCGCTAGGGTTTAATCATCCAAGTAGACAACACAAAGCCATGTAAGCAACACACTAGCAGACATCAGCCACTAATTGAAATACATAAGAACTTAGGCAGCTTAGAGTGGTAGGGGAGGGAGAGAAAAAATTGGAGGGTAGGGGGGGGCACAGGGGAAGCTAGTGAGGAGGTAGAGGAGAAACTGGCGTTTGTTACTGTGAGGAATAGGGGAAAACAGAGGAGAAATAAGAGGCAAAACTAGATGGGAAGGACAGGAGAAGCTGGTGGAGAGGAAGATGAACTCTCCCTCTCCCTCCCTCCCTCCCTCCCTCTCTCTCTCTCTCGACAGTAAAGTTACTTCTGTCAGACTACTCTCTTGACTAGTCACTCAACTTGTAATTCATTACAAGGCCTTGCTTACCATACTTGCTATGGTGGAGGCCATATTCCAACAACCACTAGCTACTACATGTCATACCATACTTATACTTACTATCTAAGAAGCACCGATACGTGGATACAAACACGGGGACACGAGGTTTGGCTTTTTCCAAAAACAGACATTGGGGGATACGGCAGCATATATAAGTATTTAGAAAAATAAACAACATGCAATAAAGATTAAATGATAATTCTCAGATGACAGATCTTTTTAGTTAAAGAGTACTGCATATATGTTGCCCCATTCTCATCTATATCTACATCTATATCTATACCAATATAAAATAACCCTAAGGGGCAGATCCAATTAATCTCAGCCATCAAACAAGGTCCAACCAACGACCCAGACTGCTTCAATGGTGAGCGCTCAACATGTTTAACGTGCAACTAATATCCTACCAAATATCATGGTCAGCACTAATCACATAATTAACACAAAAATCATATCTTACCTAATATCTTTCTGCAATTAATATACTGTGCAATGTTAACGTGCATTGCACGCACGTACGCATTTACTTGTTGATGAAAGGCTTTGAGCAGTCCGTTCACATAAGACTCTCCACCCAAAGCTCATGTATATGTAATTCTTCACTCAAGGCTCATATAAGGCCCAACCTTAAAACCTAGACTAGGTCAAGCTCCTCCAGCCCTTCCTATTCTCATGCTCTTTCTCCACTTCCTCTAGCTGCCAGAAAAAAATTGTAGCCGCCAGAGAACTACAGAACAGGAGATGAGACAACTGCCGCCGCCTGTACCTTCTTGCTTGCCGGCGTCATCCATGTCTGCGACCACAGTCCCAATCTTTCTTGAGCTTCTTCCTCGCCGGCGGCCACCTTCCCATCTTCTTCCCTGCCTGGCTCTTCTTCCTGGCCAGTGGCTAACGTTCCCGTCTCCCTCCATGCCGTATCTGTCTAGTATCCCTGTCATATCCCTATTTCTTTTAAACCCAAAAGGAAAGGGATAATCCTGTTGTGTACGACCATATCACCATGTCCTGCCATAGTAGGATGGCTATTCGGCTATATCTGCTGTGTCCGTGCTTTTTAGCTTACTATTGAGCAAGTTGCCGCATGTCTGCTACTCATAGCTACTACTGCCTGCCTACCATGTCAACACACGGGACTAAAATGGCAATGTGTGCTTAAGACAGAAATTTGGCAAAACATATTAAGCACAAGACTTACACTATCAATAAACACCTGTCTAGAAGAATTATCACTTTACCTCACCCTGCTTCAAAACTCCAAAGCGCGCTACGGCTTTGACCTATGACCTAACGTAAATAAATACAACATATTTCTTACTAATTATGATGTAAACTCAATTGATACCGAAATACTTTTTTATTAATCCAGACAAAGGTCATTGTTTCGTGTCTCCGACGACATACCAAAAAAGGATTTGAGACTGGCAGTCTGACAACTAGCACTCAACACTTCTACTCGTGGACCAAGTAGCCACACTATCATAGAATGTCATAATTTTCTTGGTTTTATAGTTCAATTTTGTAACTTAACGACTCTTCCCGAGAGTAGTTAAGCCTTGAGGCATCCATAAAAGATATGCATGAGTAGTGTAATGCAGAAGATAAAACAAATTTCCACAACAATTTAAAATTAAGGCTTGTACCTGAAATGAACCCACTTTTGTCCTAAACATGCGAACAGCCATTTTGAAGTGTGAGAGAGTTTGAAAAGACCTGAAAGACCACAGAAGATTGTCACATGTAGACTTAGCCACTAAAATAATTGTGATGAAACAAAGGCATATAGATACAAGTGCAACATATTCATAGTTCCTGTTACACAAATCCAGTTGACGCACATGCAGTTCAACATATTCAAAAATTTGTGTTCCCCCTCTATTCTCTTTTGACAGAAAGCATAGACCTATAGAATCATCCAAACAACATAAGCGATAGGAAGAGAATGGAAGGTCCTTCCAATAGCTTATTTTCCGTGTATTATGAATATATGTGTCTCCTTACCATAGTAGAGTAGCGGAGCCAGCTCACAAGTAGAGCATAGGCATAAGTAAATAAGTAATAATGCCCCCGGCTGACAATCATTTACCCATAAAAAATACTACTCACTTCCTAACGTATTGTTGCAATGCAGCTGTGATTGCTGGGCAGAGACCGGACACCTGCCCAGGGCCGCCGGGTCGTGCCTCCGCCACTGGTATACTATCACTTGTTAATGTGAATGCTATTTCAGCTATTACACATTGTACCAACTGCAGCCATACCTTGTTACAGGCAACAATATAGCTATTCAAACTGATAACCTGACCTGATCTAAATTGCAATAGGCAAAACAACTCACCATTGCAGTAATGCCATTATTAAGCTAGAAAATTTCAGATGAGAAAATAAATGCCGACCCCAAAAGGAAAAGGTTGCTTAGCCCAATCTCCACCAGGTTCACAGCATCTATTATTATGTCTACAGAAAGTAACTCACTAACAGATGGATCCCCTACATCAAGTAAGTCTTCAATGTAACAATACTCGTCACGATTAATTAATAATATAAAAATATTTAGTGTGGATCTCAATTAATAATATAATTTGGCTCTGGTGGGCTGCTAATATACTCAGATAATATATGTAGTTCACAATAAAAAATCAGCGCTTCATTTTCAGTTTTTCACACATACAAATTTACACAACTATTAGTACTATATCATAACCGAACCCCAGATCAACAATTCTAAAGTACTAAAGCTAGAGTAAACACACAAGCCCAAGATCAAATGGCCCCAAACCAAACAACAATACATCATCTCAATTAGCCATAAATCGATAAATCATATCAGAAGGGAGACCTTCCTCGAGTTCAATTTCGGCCAAACGTTATGAGAAGTACCAACCATAAAGGTGAAATTTATCACGGAGACAACCCTACTAAGGCCATTATGCCTCCCCCTACGGACGACCCCCGTGCAACCCTGCCTCCCCCCGGCGGCGATCGATACGGGATGAGCGGCTACTGCTGTTGGTCCTCTCCCCGATCTGCTTCCCGGCCAGTCGCGCTTTTTTGCACTCTGTCTCTGTTTCTTCACTGGCCGGCGGCCATTTGAGGGTGGACGGCGGCGGATAGTGGGTCGGGACAGAGAGGGTTATAGGAGCTTCTTTCTTTTTATTTTGGATTGGAGGGCTATAGGGTTAGGGTTAGAGCTTCGGTACCTCCTATGTGGCGCTTTAGGGGCTCCAGCGCTCACGCGCGTCTTGGTTTGGGCCGGCCTATCGCTCGCTGGCCGCGCCAGGGAAAAAACTATTTGCCGCTTTGGCAAAAATGGAGTGCGTTTGGTTCGTGACCTGGTCTCGACGCCAGGCAAAAATAGATGCCTGACTTGCGCCTGAAAAGCGAACGATTTTTGCCAGGCTAAGGCATTTGGTTTCCTCCCTGGACGTGAAGGATTTTTTTCTAACACAATACAGACGCAAGCGCCCATATACACATGCATACACTCACCTTTATAAACGCACACATGCACATCCTAACTCTGTGAGCACCTTAAAAATACTGTGCCAGCATATCATCTTGAAATTTACGAGTCACTGTTAAAATAGTACTATGCTGCGTCAGAGTTCTTTAATTACTCCAGCCCCTTATTTGCATTAGCTAGGCACCTTGATTTTTGTGTCCAGGCTTAACTTTCCGGTCGCCTGGGTGAGGCTAATTATAAGCCTACATGTTGGCCAGGCTAATCATCCGTTCAGGCCAGACTAACAGAGAAAATACCAGGCAGCGACCAAACAAGGTCCAGGCAGCCTTCAGGGACCCCTCCAGGCCAGGCAACTTTGTGCGAGGACAGCAACCGAACACATTGATATTGCGTCAACGCACACGCAGAACGCCCGCATCGCTAGAAAATGAGCCGACCCAATTTACCACGGCTAACCAGCCGGTTTTGGGACCTTCTTTTGGGACCTTTCTAGAAGGTTCCTTGACTGGTTTTTTATTCCTTTATAGGTTTTCCTGTTTTCTTATTGTTTTTTATGTTTTTCGGTTTTTACATTTTTCCTTTTTTGTGTTTCTTTTCTCTTTTTCTTTTTCTCTTTTCTTTTCGTTTTCTGTTTTTTGTTTGTTTCTTATTTTTATTTTTATTTTAAAAGGTTCATGTTTGAAAAATGATCCGGATTTTCAAAAAAGATCGTGATTTGAAAAAACATTCAAAATTCAAAAATTGTTCATGATTTCAGAAATTGTTTAACAAAATCAAAAAATGTTTGAATTTTAACACGACATTCGCATTTTTCAAATTTGTTGCTGTTTGAGAAAGTGTTCGCATTTTTTTCAAAAAGTTGTTCGTGGTTTGTTCCGGAGTTAAAATAGTTTCATTAACCATATGAGGTAGTGAGTCTACCAAATCTATCATAGCATTATAAGCATCCAAAGTGTGGCTTCCCAAGAAATTTCCCCCGGTAATGGTATCTAGAACATATCTATTTCAAGAAGTAACACACACATGAAAATTGCGAAGGAGAACGATAGTAGATTGCTTACGAGTGGATCTATTTTGAGCATTGCAAATTCTATACCAAGCATTTTTTATTTTTCTCCCTCCATTTGCTTAAAATTAAGAACCTCACTCTCGGGAGTACTAGCAATGGTAGGGGGATTAGCCATGAGAGCAAATCAAACGATCTAGCACACGAGCAAACAAAAAGCGAATGAAAAGACGAACGGAAGAAGGGCGAATAAAAAGGCAAATCTTTTTGTATTTTTCTAAAAACGTTTTAGAAGTGGGGGAGAGGAAAACGAGAGGCAAATGGAAAATAATGCAATGCAAGAGATGAGAGTTTATGATGGGTACTTGGTAGGCTTGATGTAGATCTCCCCGGCAACGGCGCCAGAAATCATTCAAGCTACTTCTTGAGCTTTGTGTTAGTTTTTTCCTTGAAGAGGAAAGGGTGATGCAGCAAAGTAGAGATAAATATTTACCTTAGTTAAGAACCAAGGTATCAATCCAATAGGAGAAACACGCAAGTCCCCAATATATGCACCTACACAAACAATCAAACACTTGCACCCAACGCGAAAAAGGGGTTGTTAACCCCTTCACGGGCACTTGCAAAGGTGAGATATGATAGAGATAGATATAAAAGATTACTAAAATGTAAAAGTAAATAAATTGCAGCAAGGTATTTTTGTATATATATCTGAAAATATATGAAGGAAAATAGACCCGGTGGCCATAGGTTTCACTAGAGGCTTCTCTCTTGAAGGCAAATAATACAGTGGGTGAACAAATTACTGTCGAGCAATTAATAAAAAAGCGCAAAGTTGTGACGATATCCAAGGCAATGATTATGAATATAGGCATCACATCTGTGTCAAGTAAACAGACTCCTGCCTGCATCTACTACTATTACTCCACACATGGACCGCTATCCAGCATGCATCTAGAGTATTAAGTTCATAAAGAATGTTGTAGCGCCTTAAGTAAGATGACATGATGTAGAGGGATAAACTCAAGCAATATGATGAAAAACCTGTCTTTTTACCCTTGATGGCAACAATACAATACGTGTCTCGCTACCCCTACTTTGTCACTGGGTGAAATCAGCAAGATTGAACCCAAAACTAAGCACCTCTCTCATTACAAGAAAAACCAATCTAGTTGGCCAAACCAAACCGATAATTAGAAGAGAAATACAAAGATAGCAAATCATGCATATAAGAATTCAGAGAAGGTTCAAATAATATTCACAGATAAGCTGATCATAAATCCACAATTCATCGATCTCGACAAACACACCACAAAAGAAGATTACACGGGATAGATCTTCAAGAACATCGAGGAGAACATGGTATTGAGAATCAAAGAGAAAGAAGAAGTCATCTAGCTACTAACTACTCACGCTTCATCGGAAGGGCAATAGGGTTGATGTAGATGCCCTCCATGATCGGATCCCCCTCCGACAGGATGCCGAAAAAGGCCCCAAGATGGGATCTCATGGGAACAGAAGGTTACGGCGGCGGAAAAGTATTTTGGTGGACGCTTCTGTTGATAATGGAATATTTGAGGATTTATAGAATTCAGAGGGAGGTCGGTGAACTCCCGAGGGGCCCACTAGCCAGCCCCCCCCTAGAGCGCGCTCTGGTGGCTTGTGGAGTCCTCAGGACTCTTCTGACTTGGCCTCCAAGCTTCGTGGATATCTTCTAGTCTAAGAAAAATCATCGTAAAGTTTTATTCCGTTTGGACTCCGTTTGATATTCCTTTTGTGTAAAACTAAAAAACAAGGAAAAAATATAAACTGGCACTGGGCTCTAGGTTAAGAAGTTAGTCCCAAAAATAATATAAAATAATATTAATGCATATAAAACATCCAAAACAGATAATATAATAGCATGGAACAATAAAAAATTATAGATACATTGGAGACATATCATTACCTTCTGATTTCCAGCCTAGCCCAGGAGCTAAATCGTACTCGTGCAGCTCTAGCTCCCGCTAGATCCACTTTCGCTCCACCTTCACTTGTTTTTACTCCGCTTGTTGCCCCATCTACTATTCCGCTACCCACTCTGATTACCCTCAGAGTAACTCGGATACTTCGACAGTGACTCCTCACAAGTCCCTTGCCGAGTGGACTTTACTTCTCGCTACTCCCGCCGCCCCTATGCTTGACCCCCACCCAGCAGCTACCCCTAAGGGAGAGCC